TTTCTCTTGTCGTGACGAATCGAAGAAGAAATGTTTCCTTACTTCCTTATGCTTCAAGCGAGATATTTTTCATATCGACCATGGATGTCTCCGTATAACCAAAAGCGAAAGTTAAATGCCAACGAATGGCCTAGCTTTGTGTATAGAACAGATGTGTAGCTGTCGCCAGGAAATTGGTGCTCATGCATTTATTTAATATTTATTTGTATTTTGTTTAGTGAATGTATTTTGTTTCATTTTGTTGGCAACATGTTATTATTTGTAATATTATTTGTAAAAGGTTTAATGTAGAGGGTTCCTTGTAACAGTGCCTCCTACTGTTCAGCAGAACAGTCTATTTACGTAATCACATGACCTAGCGTAATGAGCAGCGGAAGGAAGGCCAGGTTAGCAAGCTGAGTGAAGTCAATGAACAACGGCAAAGAAAAGAACATCAAAAAGGATTGAAAGAAAGATGTAATGCAGTAATGTATCCTAACTCTGGTCAGAAGGAGCACACGGTATGTCATTGTTTTGTCTTTTCTTGTTTTAATATGTATGTTTATTATGTATGTTCGTTGAGTTTTCGCTGTCCTGTATACGTAGTAGAAGCATGTAGATTTCTTATTTAAGACCCGTAAATGATCATTGTATGTGTAATGGTAGTGTTTCTTTATTTCAGTTTTTCACGGTGGTTGGTGTGATTTGTTATGTCGATGGAAAAATAAATAAATAAACAAAATTATCGCGCTAAACATCAGTTGAATCGTGAACTAACTTCTGACAGAAGAAAACACTAGGAGCCGTTATAAGATGTCACGCGTGCACTTTACTACAATTGCATAGTGTATTTTACAGTTGCATACATAGGCATAGCCAGGGACAGATTATGGGTTGTGTGGGCCCCTGGGCAAAACGTTCACGAGGGCCACCCACCACCACAACCACCACAATTCAAGGGCCCTTGGCAGCCAAACGCCCTCCCTCCATGTTTCCATCAGAGGCCATATAGAGTCAAGGGCCCTTGTAGGCAGAGGATCAAAGAATGTAGGCCCTCTAAAATAGACAAATTGTTTTGGGCTAGGGGCCCCACGGGCCCCCTGCACCCCAAGGGCCCCTGGGCAGCGGTATTAGTTGCTATGATCTGCTTACTTGGAATATGTATCTTTGTGCACATTGTGTTCATGGCCACCTGTCCACTGGCTTTCGAGGTCACTGTCTGTATGCATGTAGAGCTCACTCAGGCCCAAAGATACCCTTTACCTCCAGAGGGGGCAGTGGGATGTTCCACTGCTGGTACAACCATCCTCTGATCCTTACCCACTGACTCCGTGCTCTGCCCGTGAAGCTCGCTGTCATTGGTGTTGTTTGGCCTCTTTGCATTCTGATTACCCATTGGCTGCTGCTCCATATCCAATTGGCTGTCAACAGACCTACAGAACCTATGTGATGAAATACACGTGTGTGTGTAATGACATTGTGTTATATAATGTCCTGATAGTTCATATTTAACAATTTGGTAGATCTAAAAATAGCTGACATATACATTATATATGGACACACATATGTATAAGTGTATGTATAATGTATAACATACATGCAAAAATAATTTGTTACTTTCAAAATAAGTTACATTCATCAAATTCTTCTGTTTAATTTTTAGGTCACATGCAATACAATCAAGTTAGATGCAAGATATGATAGTTACTGTTGATCTGTAAAATGTATAATTTGTCAGATTTTTTTCAGTGTTTTTATATCATGCATATATGGTAAGTGTTTCTTTGCCGGAAATATTCTGCATAGTTCAGCTCCCCAGCAGAATAATCATATGGTCTCCTTACAAACTCTGAGAATAATTGATTAATCTGATTAAAATCCTGAGTGTGTGCACATTGTTTGCATTAATACTCGCTTCCCCCTGCAGAAGGTCAGTTTGTACCTCAGCAGCGCTGTGCCCACCGCATCAACCGCCTGCTCATTTTCCTGGCATTCCAGCAGCCCTCTAGTTTCATGGTAGGCACAGTGGATGACTTGCTTTATGTTGCTCCTGGATGGTTGCACTGTGATGTTGGTCATGTGACTGGGGCTGTGACAGTGGTGCATGAACACCAGGATGACAGGTTTGTTTACTGTAGAAGAGAGAAACCAAACAGGTTACTGTGGGCACTGATAGATGCTGTTGCTTCCTCTCCTGGTTTTTTACATCTTAAATAAGGTGAGAACAAAGAAAAGCTGTTTGCTTCCTAGAATTAGCTCTTGGCTCAGTATTAACCTGTAGTGCACAAGTGGACATGGAAGGATGGAGAGAAAACCTATAAAAGCCAAGGTCCTTTGAAGTAAGGAATTTTTTACATACATTCAGAGTTCAGTCTAACCTGTATGTTTGTAAAAGACTTGGTAAGAAACAAATAATGACGAATCAGCTTCAGTTCTGTTTAAATACTGTATATAGTGTCATAGAAGCACTACACTTTGCATAACAGTGAAAAACTTTATTAGGTTAGTTACTACCACTGTAAAACAAAATATAGCTGCATAGACATGTGCTGATATTACACACACTATGAACAGTCAGGTTTATATTGAAGCTAAATTCCATTTCTTTGTCTGATCCTGTCAAATAATATATTGTGTGGCAGTCTTATTATTTTAAAAGTTAAATTCAACCAGTCAAAACAAAATGATCTCTGATCAACCTGGATAAATCTGGACGTGTTTTACACCCATGAGTGACTGACAGGTCCATTGTAGGGTAAGGCAGAGCAAGGCAAGTTTATTTATAGTAAAATAAGTTTATATAGTAAGTTTATGGCACAATTCAGATACAAGGCAATTCAAAGTGCTTTATGAAGGCAGAAGAGCACATTAAAATAAAATACATTAAAATCACATTTAAAAGACAAAAAAAGAAAGAGTTAGCAAATATGAATGGTTTGTTGATCTGTGTTTATTTAAAGGGGTCAACTTCTGATTGGAAATTTCTTTTATAAATCACAACTTCCTCTGTGAAGAGATGAACTTCATAATATCTGTTTGTTGTGTCTTTGTTGGATTTCATGGAAAAGGTGACATACAGCAGAGACTGAATCCTGCCTCACCTGT